GGGCAGACACGAGTGTTCCTGTGCCCTCACCACCTTCATCGCCCCAGGAGGAGGAGGAAGGCTGCAGGTGGGGCAGACACGAGTGTTCCTGTGCCTTCACCCTGGCTGCCTCCAGGGCTCTGCCAGCAGCAGCAGCGGGTGCCGGCCACGGCAGCCCTGCCCAGGCAGCACTCTGGTGGCCGAGGTGGCATTGCTGACCCATAGCAGGCCCTGCTGACCCACAGTGGGCACTGCTGACCCATGGCAGCCCTGATGGGCACCACTCATCCACAGCAGACACCACTCACCCACGGCGGCCGTGAAGTACTGGCGCACCTCGCGGGGGCTCAGGGCCCTCTCCCAGATGACGAACTCGTCGAAGGCGCCGCTGACCGAGCGCCGCGCCGTGCCCTCGGTGCCCCCCAGCAGCTCGGCGCCGGCGTCGCCGTAGTCGTAGAAAACCTTCCCGTCGGGGTCCGCCGTGCTCAGGCTGCCGTTCACGTAGACCTTGAGGCCTTCCCGCGACCGCCAGGTGAAGAGGACGTGGGTCCAGTAGGGGCCTGCAGGGCAGAGGCACAGCGGGCATGGGGCCGCGCCGTCCCGGCAGGGTGGAGGTGAGCCGGGAGCGCCTGCGGCTGTGCCTGCTGCTGGCTGTACCCGCTGCTGGCTGTACCCCGGGAAGCTGTGCCTCAGGGGCTGCTGCAGCTGTGCCTGCTGGCTGTACCCGCTGCTGGCTGTACCCGCTGCTGGCTGTACCCCAGGAAGCCGTGCCTCAGGGGCTGCTGCGGCTGTGCCTGCTGGCTGTACCCGCTGCTGGCTGTACCCGCTGCTGGCTGTACCCCGGGAAGCCGTGCCTCAGGGGCTGCGGCTGTGCCTGCTGGCTGTACCCAGGGAAGCCCGTGCCTCAGCAGGATGCCCGCCAGCTGTGCCCGAACCCGGGCTCACCACAGCCCCATAAATTTCTGCTGAGCACTGCCAGCCACGACCTGAGCTCTCTTCACTCCGGCCTCAGAACTCAGCCCAGCCAGAGCAGCACGAGGGCTGCAGGAGCTGGAGAACGAGCGCATAAACCCCTCAAAAGCTCTCACTGCTTCCTTGTCATGCTTGAGAGGCAGAAAACACAGTATTCATTTTCACTTGGATTGGATAATCCACAAACTTGTGAATTATTCTTGCCTTTTGCTCCTTTTCTCTTAAAATAAGACTTCTAAACTGATTCATTAAGGTTTATGGAACTGCTACCATGAGTCCTATTTTAACAATGTATAGCCACTGAAGTTAGGGCAAGAAAATATTTATTGAATGCCATTAGCATTATTGGAAGACCAGAATTCGTTCCAGTCAGTAGATATTAGTGCTCCCCTGCAACGCACAGTTTAGATAGAAGCAGTGAGATATGTGATATACCAAAATGTTTATTAATGCTATGGCTTGGCACAGAAAACCTGACACTCAACAGGAACAGAGCCATGCAAGCAGCAAAGAGCAGTGAGAGAGTCACCAGACAAACCTGAGCTCAGCAGAGAGCAGCCTGGCAGCTCTGGGAGCTGCCAGAGATTGATCTGCCTTCTTTCTCATGCTCCCATCTGAACATGCAAGAACCACTGGAGTCAGTGAGGATCCCCTGCAGACACCACTGCACGCTGCATCCAGGGGCAGTCAGCAAATGCAAATGTTCTAGAACACATCACTGGTTTCCCTTTGCATGTTCTAGAACACATCACTGCTTTCCCTTTGCATTTCACCCCTCCCTCCCCACTCCAAGAGGATTCTTAAGCACAGAGGTCTGCAGCTGTTTTTGTATCCCCACTTCTCTTCCCTGAGCTTGGGCTCTGCTCACTACCTCTGTCTGCAGGAATAAAGCAAAATGTAACAAAGAAATCAGAGGTTTTTCAATATAAACTTTACCTGGTGGACTAAAGCTGGCTTTCCACTTCATCATTGCATTCCCACGGGTGTAAAACTCCACGGAGCCTTCACCTTCATTTGAGCAGATTTTGAAACCACTGGAAATTACTCGCCCACCAGAGGCAGGGAGAAGCTTGGCCTGTTGGTCTTGAGTCTTCCAGAAAAAGGAAAATGTTACTCCTGAGGAAAGCAAGGGAGAAGAGGCTTGAACGAAGAAACGGAGTGCAATTGAAAATTTCCAATGTGCAGAATAGAGGCAGTGGGGATGCTTCTGAGGTCAGATCATCCACTGGCATAAACCAGGACAGCATTTTAAAAATCAACAATGCTCCAACAGTTTAAACCAGATAAACAATCCCTCCCTCAGCTTTGCCTCCCCTGAGCACACCCAGGACACAGCAGTGTCCTGAGCAGCTTCTCTCAGTGAAAACCAAAGTTCTGTGATCTCCAAAGGGCACCTACATGTTTTTGGTGCTCCCCAGGCCCCATCACAGCCAGATTTAATCCAGTGACCTCTCCTGAGCTCCTCAGCACTGCCTGGCTCCAGCCCACCCCTGCTAACAGCTGAATTTCCTAAGCACTAGATTATGTGGATTTTCACCCTTCAGTGCACCAACAGCTCCTGAAAGCCAGGTGTAAAATAAAAGGTAACTGTACATGCAGAGCCACAGAAAAGATTCTGGGGTCCCCACCTACACAAAAATAATTGTCCCGAAAATACAACACAATCCTGCAAGTGCACATGTGATTAACTTATCTCACAAATGATCTGCTCAGTTCCCAGCAAATCTCACTATTATCCTGTGAAATGGAGCAGCTCCCCAGGTCACACACTAGTGAATAAATGTCATTTCCACAAGGTGGCTTTCTATAATAAAGGCTACCCCAGAAAGCTTCACTGGCACACAAGTGGCAAATCAAACCTTGCTCACATTTGCCATTTGTTGGCTACAGGCAGCTTCTCCAAATGAGCTCAAGCCAAGGAATAAGAGAACATTCTCTTGCACCTCCCACAAATGTTTGTTTTGACTGAAGATGCCACTCCAATGAGCCCAAAAAACATTGTCTGAAGATTGCTTCAGAAGGAGCAAAGTGGAGAAGAATGTTTCAACACACCAAAACCAAGAAGAGTTTGTTTTCTCAAGTAAAAATAACAGTCCCAAAATGTTATGAAATCCAGCCTTAGAAGAAGCACTGGGATTTTTGTTTCATGGGTTTTTATTTCACCTGGGGAGATCCCAACACCCTTCCCCAAAGGCATTTCCTGGTTAAAAACCAACATACAAGAAGCTCCATCCATTTGTGTTTCACACAAACACATCAAGGATGGTTAAGCAGCAGCAGCTGAAATAAAATCCACCTTACCCTCACCACAGGTGCATTTGGCTTGAAAAATACAGACACGTTCTTTAGACACAAGGGTGTTGCCTTTTTTCCTTCCATTAATATGTGCTGCAGTCACTTCGTGATTAATATTTATATGATTTCTTCTCCTCACATTTTATCTACTGAACATTTCAGTGTTTTATGCCTTTAATGTTCTTGTTTGTGAGATACTGGGAGTGCTCTGGTACTACAAAAACAATTTATTCTGATTGTTACAGATGTTGAAAGAATATGATTTCCTGATGATTTTTATTTCCCAGTGGCATGAAAAAAAGTATGAAAAGATACAGCACGTATCCCAAAACACACTTGGAGCAGGATGCTGAATCCCTTTTTCTGTCACTCTCAGGCAACAGCCAGCTGCTCTGGGTGCTTACAAAGCTCACCAGCAGCTCTTGCTTCAGCAGCTCCAACAAAAGTGATCCTAATTTCCAGCCACGTTACCCCCTGAAGGATGGCCCAAGTCAGCAACAGCCAGAACACTGTTCAGTGTTGGCAATGCTGTGAGTTCAGGGGCTGCTGGAGTTCAGGGAAAGCCAGCATTTGCTTTGGAACCCTCCCTTTCCATGGGGTTCTGCATCTCCTGAGAATGCCCTGGGCGAGTAACCAGGTTTGCTCTGATTGTCACACTCAGCCTCAGTTTGCTCTGACTGTCACACTCAGCCTCAGTTTGCTCTGTCACACTCAGTCTCAGTTTGCTCTGATTGTCACACTCAGCCTCAGTTTGCTCTGACTGTCACACTCAGTCTCAGTTTGCTCTGACTGTCACACTCAGTCTCAGTTTGCTCTGTCACACTCAGTCTCAGTTTGCTCTGTCACACTCAG